TAGAGTAAAACTTCTTTTAGAGACCACTCTCATAAAACGATGTACATAATGACCATTCTTGAATTCCCCTACTTAAATATCAGGGCTTGCTTCAACTTCTGTGTTTTCTTTTTAAGCGACCGATATTTGAGTCCATAAGGGGTGAGAAATAAGGGAGATATAGTACTCTGCGACTATTGCGCCACTGTGTAGAAAATAAAAACTACAACCAATTAGGTACACCGCTTAACGTTGAAAGCGGACAAAACATCGGCACTGATTTTGAATTTTGGTTAGTTTTTAAAAAGATTCAATCTGCAAATATATTTATATGTGCCCAAACTTTACGGACTAAAAGTATCGAAATGCAAAGGCACTTTTAAATTCAATTTTAAATTAGATTTTATTGCGAAGCTAAAATCATACTTAACCTCGATTTTAAACTTTGCATTATCTTGATAAATTATTAAAATTAAGTTCGGTGCTTCTGTTCTCTTTTCGTTAATTAATAGGACAGATAAGACGAAAGTTTTCGCTACGAATAATTCGAATAATTTAAAGTTTATTTCCTTTCACGCAGGTAAAATTTTCAAAGTTTTCATTTAGGAAATCTTTCTTAACTCTGGGCCTGTTCAAAATGGCGAAGTATCGAAGAATGTGATGTTTTTTATCGGCAAACGTATTTGATATATATAACTGTAACGGAAATTTTCATGTGCTTTAATTGAATTGTATCAATCACTTATTCTTGTCATTGTAAAACGATGATTCCGACGTACGTAGGACGCTTCATCACTTAAATTCGTTTACATTTGTCGGTCTGGAAAGTTTAACAGAAAATTCCGTGAAAACACTGAAAATTCATTAACAACAGATGCGGAGAGTTTGAATAATAAATCTATTGCACAAGGAGATGTTTTTCTATTTACTTTAGCAGTAACTCAAATTTACGACGTTAGTTCTTCACTCGATTTGTTGGTATTTACAAACACAGCTGCTTTGAGTCCTAAGCAAATAACATGTATGTTAAGGCACGTTTTCACCGTAGAAACATTTAGCAACTTTTGTATTTCTGTTAGTTGTTTCTGAAAGTTAGATTTTAAAGATTTCCAAACAAGTTTCAAATATCAGGATTTGAATATTCATTTGCATTTTCCATTTGTTCGGTTGTTTTTCCGTGCATTATTTAAAAAACCGATGTCACATACTTAAATGATGCTATAACTAAAATTAACTGGTCTATATGTATATATGCACAAAACAATTTATTGAATTTAAGTTACTAAAGATACTTCTAAAGAAGTGTGAATTACTTGTCTTACATATGCCGTATTTAGTTAACAATAAAGAATTACCAGTTTGAAATTTTTTTGGATTTTATTTATTACTGCAATTGTTTTTGTTTAGTTTGACATTTTAAAACACGTTTTTTTTTAAATGGGTCGTCGGACTACAATTTCTGAGAAAAATTTAATTATTACTCATCACAGAAATCGACACAGCCAAAAAGACATAGCCAAAATGGTAGCTAAACGTACGTCAACTGTTCAGTATATCATTGAGCGCTGCTGCAACGAAAATAGTGTCGATGTGGAAAAACAGTTTGGAAAAAGGTGTAACCCCGAAACAATTCTGCGAATCCAACGAAAAAATAATTTACATGATCGAACTGACAGAAATAAGCATTTCATTAGCCGAACAAATAGACGCGTGAGATTGGCATTCGCTAGAGGGCATATCGATAAAGATTTGAACTTTTGGAATTCAGTAATATTTGCCTATGAGACCAAAATAAACTTATTTGGATCCGATTTAAAGCTACGGTAAATCTCGGTGGAGGTGGAGTGATGTTATGGGGCTGTATGTCATCTTCAGAAATAGATAATATGCATTTAATTGAAGGAAATGTGAATCTATATGTGTATTTGGATATATTAAGACAGCATCTGGTTGCTAGTGCCCAACAATTAAATACGGGTAACAACTATCGTTTCTATCATGACAATGGTTGCCCAAATGTAATTAAGACACCAACCCCAGATTTAGCAGGCCAGACTTAAATGTAATTGAAAATTTGCGGTTGACATTTAAAAACAAAGTAAATAGTACCCCAATATCTAACAAGAATGAATTAAAAGTAAAAATTGCTGAACTATTTAACACAATTTCCCCCGTGTATACTACACAAATTAGTTGAATCAGTACCCAGAAGACTACAAGCCGTTATCGATAATGAGGGAGGTCCGACTAAATATTAGCAGGAGTATTTAAAATTATATAGTTGTTTTTCTCTATTGATTTGGTTATATTTTGTTTTGCATCATTTAAGCTTTGACGTTAATATTGTATATAATTTAATAATTTTTAATTAACTAAGTAAGACAAAAAATAATTAACACTTTTTTAGAAGGCTCTTTACTAAATTAATTTCAATAAATTGCTTTTTTTTTCAAATAAACAAAGAGACATTCAGACCAGTTAATTTTTGTTATAGCGACTGCATCATTTAAGCTGTGAGTCACTGTAGCTGTGAAGGCTTAACACATAAATTATTTAAAAGAGTTTTAACTGTTTTTTTATACTTACTTTACTTTCTAGCAAAGACATGGGCTGCTCATTCAAACAAATGTCTTTGAAAGGGGTTAGCCCTTTGAAATAGCTGAGTTACTTACAAAAAAAGATATTTATTAACACAAGAATTTTACGAAAAACCAGAAAACTTGCGACTACACATGTGTTTCAATTGAATTGAATTGTGTTGAATTGGCAGCACTGCAGGTGTTTAAATATTTCAAGAAGATTTGAAAAAAAAAGCTATTTCGTTCCTCGGACTTTTAATAGGACACTCAATTTTTGCAATTTTCCACCAAAATGTTTGTGTGAAGTGTGATTGTGAAGTGTGATATATAAATAAATCGAGTGTGTAGAGTACGATCATCTAACCTCAGTTTTCACAATAAATAAATTTCTCAACAAAAATTTTCATTAGTTGTATTATCGACGCAATCAACAAAATTTTAAAAAGTTGTCACCCTTCCACGCGAATCGCCATCTTTAAAGACATAAAAGATGCCGAGTCGCAAAACAAAGTTTCGTGAAACCAATAATTGGAACGAAGCGAAGTTCGAAAATTAAGGACGATAAGAGGTATCTGATGAGAATTGGTTTTATTTCTGCTTCCCAATGTACCTGGTGACCAATTAATGAAAAATAAAATAAATAAATAAAATTAAACAAATTATAAGTAAAGCGGCCATGTTAGAAAAAATGTTAGAAATTATTTCTAATCTCCTAGAATCAGGGAGCGTAATTACATTCTTGAATTTGAACTCTCTGTTTTTGAGAAATCTTATGTTATATTACAGATGGCTAAAATAGACCATTTTAAAGCCGAGATAATTTTGATACTTTTTCGTTAAATGGTTTTTGCTCTACCCCTTTTTTTTCAAGAAAACTTCCACAGGCTACTGTAATACTTTTTACAAAACTTTTGAATTGCTCCTGCGTCGACTTCTGTTGGCGACAAGTGGTAAATCTGGTCTTTACTTGTCGCAATATGAATTAACCATCCGAGACGATGTTTATGCCCCTTATTTACCTCCGCCCCCGTCAAACATAAGCAGATACAAAGTAAAATGCGAGCCAGTTTCAGTCAAGCTCTGAAGAAGCCAACATGATGGTTGGCGAAACGTTAGCAGTTCGACTCAACAAAAGCCGAAGCAGAAGTCTTGTAACAAGTACTTCACAAGGACTAATTTGAATATTATCAATTTGAGTGTTTTGCCAAATTTTGAATGTCTCTCTGATCAATCCTTCAGTGCTTTCGGAAATAAATTGAATTAAATTTTCAATATTTAATATCTGAAAAACTATTTTTCTTATATCCTTTGCTTGGAACTTGTAGTGGAAGATAGATACAATACAGATTTTAAATAGTAGCCAATTTCGTTAGCGCCCAGAACTATCTCCATCACTATCCCTTAAAATGAACCTGTTTTACTTCTTATTTATTTACTTTTTAGAATTTTTACCCTATCAATTTCGTTTCGTTAAGGTGGTAGCTTAGCCGCATTAAAACTATTTAAACGAATAACGCTGACCTGCGATGAGATAATGTAATCGACAGAGGCGAATTGGCACGAACGATTTTTTAATTGAATTGGCCAATTTAATTTCAGCGGTCAATTGAAGAAGCGCTTTGCAACGGCTATTATTCCCGGTCCCTCGTGAATTACTAAAAGTCGTAAATTCATCGTGAAATTGCACAAATGCAATTGGGTGTCGACTTTTTTGTTTGTGCGGTTTATTTGTCGCGACACAGATGAGTTTTCATTCAGTTTGTATGTGTCGATTTGATCTTGTAATTTATTCATTATTTACCTGCTTTGTTTTTGTCTAATTTTTTTTGGTACTACCCACACAGAAGGGAAGACCTACATTGAAGTGTTAAATAGGTAACAGGGATGAAATATAATCCAAATGATTTGTATTTTATGGTGATTTCTGGTCTGCATAAGTGACATTTTTTACGCTAAATCTGATCACTGCCCATTGTGATATTTAACAGATGTTTCAGAGAAAATGTTGCTGGTAGCGACAGTAAGCAAGAGAAAGAGAGAATCTCAAAAATTTAGTTGGGAAACCAAACATAGAAGTAGAAGGAAATTAGTGTATAAAATGGAATCGAGATAATGACCGAATGTTCTGCTTAGTATATTTCCATATTCATATAACATGTTTAATAATACATATCTTTCGCATTTTGTATTCCATTTATTTTGATAAACTTGTGTTGATTTAATGCTTCTTCATTGTTACCGCTACTGCCTACAATGTCACCAAGGCAGTGGCGGTGGTAAAATCAGTGGTTGCGTACATTTTAAGAAGAAGAAAAAAATGAACACGATTAATCAACAAATGTTAAAAATTACCGTACTTACTTAATGATCGTATCTGTAAATTTAAAGTAATATCAGAGCAACTTATGACTTATGCTTCTTACAAAAACCTTTTTGTTACAGAATCAGTTTCTCGAGTGACCGCATGTTGGCACACCCCTGGGATTAATGTGGAGTTTTTTGATCTGCAGCAACCAAACTAAGTTTTCAACAATAGTGAGTAGTTACATTAAATGTAATGATTATGACAAGAACTGTTCGAACGGGTACAGGGTCCTTTCTATATACTTATTTAAATTCGTTGCTAAAATATCCAGTTTGTTACATCCAGAAATTGAAAACAACTTAATTCTCAGTGGATCTTCAATTAGTACAATGGGATTCTATATATTATACCAATAACATTGAGGATAAGATTTCTTTATCAACAGATAAAATTTTAAAGATATTTAAAAATATTAAAAATATAATAAATGAACGAAAAAGACCGTTTAAACGTACATGATTGGTAGCCGATTTGGCTTACTTTAAACCTTTACGAAATTCTTTTGCAAAGTTAGTTATCATTTGTCTTTGTCGCTTCGTATGGCAACATTCGAAGAAATTCAAGAGATTATTTCTCAATTAAGATCCAGTGCAACAGCTAAAGCTTTGTTTACCGGCGATTTTTAAGATCCCATATGGTAGATTCTTGTACTGTGAAAGCTAAACACTTTCTGAAAGTTGTTCAACCTGAATCCTAGACCAACATCTCTAATTCCAACAATCAGCAAGCTCCTGGAGAAGGTTATTCAGCCTCAGTTACATGAATACACTATAACTAACGATATTATATCCTATTTACAGTTTGGGTTTCGTGTGGTATAGACTGTCATGCAGTTTTAATTTGCAAGGTTGAGTTTTCCGTACTGTGCTAGTAAGTTTCTTTTCTTAATTAAAAAAATTGTTTAAAGCTAGACTTCGTCATTTGTAAATTTTACAATGCAGACTAAATAAAATAAACATTTTTGGTGTTTTAGAAAGATACTTATCCAACAAAATTGCTTTCGAAAAATTTGGATTTTTTCAAATATCTCGACCAACGTATGTGATAGACGAAAACCGTAAATACAAAAAATGTAGCCCTTGTTGCGGTCTATAATACCGTTTAAACTATATTAAGCCATATATTCTAAAAATTCGGGCAAATAATTTACTCTGGAAAAGAACAATTTTTAGGGTATTTTATATTTTTGTCTATAATTAAAAAAATAAATTAAAGTTGCAGATTATCCGCGTCTTTTGGTTCAAGAATTTTGTGGATCGGGTTAATAGTTTTTGAGAAAAAAATTTTTTTTGGACACCAAAATAACAAAAAAAAATCAAAAATTAAAAAAAAAACTTGGTGAAATTTGATTACACCCAATTTCTACTGTTTAAATGCGGATACGGACCATTAATTCGCTGCTAAATTTGAAGTTGATATCTGCAAATTTAGGACACTTAACACATTTCTTATATAGCACGGAATGTCGTGAACATCCTGTACAATAGGTGAAAACCTTAAACACAAAAGTTTTAGCTGTCTATACGGGCTATATCGCAATGTAACAGAAAGTGACATCTCTTTCACGGTCTTTCAGTTATAGAAAATTTGCATACTACACCTTTTCTAATAACCCATTAGTTTATGGCTAAAAATCGACACATGCAGTGACCGTCCTACCTAAAACATGCTATAGTTCTCAAACCCGATCATGAGTAACAAACCTGACGTCTTAAAGTAACACACAAAGAAAATGACGTTGAAGGCGTCAGATACGAGAAATTGGTGGGTAATGAAAATCGAATACCGGTGGTATCGATGCAATTAACACGATTATTAATAATCTACACTGCGCGTGTATCAATAACTTCCCAATAATCTAATCTCAGGCCGTATGGTATACGCTGTTCCGAAAATTGATAATATTGGATTATGTTTCTAGCATTTGCGACCAGATTCTGCGTAATAGATATTTAATATTCAACGCGAGTATTTGCGATGTTGATGATATTCACCACCACAATAAGCCCTTGGACGCGCGGTGTTCAACGCTGAGATAATTACCCACGGATTCGGCATTCCACTGATAAAGTCGGATCAATTTGTATGAGATTACTTGCTGCTGCTTATGCGCGTTCCTTGTGTAATGCGATAAATTGACTAAACTCTTTCCCTTCACAAATTTCAGTTCGATTCGCAAAAAAAAAGCTCCGACGCACTCCTCTTTTACCACAGATACGACGTTAATTAAGTTCCAAATTGACGACATCCAGTAGAATCAACAGCAAGGTGGTGCGGGCGGGGTGGGGGAAGAAACCGGGTGTCTAAACAACAGCACTTTGCCTACCGAACCGTGTCACTTCAGGAGTAATTAAATCAAATGCGTGCACATGTTTTCCCGCGCAGTCATACTCACCTCCTCCTCGCGTGTAAACAAAAGAGAAGCGCATCGATTTGCCCTACTTCCTTTGATCTATTCCTATCCCGGTATTTAACGTTTAAATGTGTACCGCTGTCTGTTTACGTTTATGTCCTTGAACGTGTTGATTTTTTACATTTGGCAAGGCCCACTTTTGGAGTATCGAAGTTTGGTTTCCATATCTCCATCACTGAAAGCTCTTAATTGGTTTTGGCAAGCAGTTACTTAAATTCTAGACGCCGTAAGTGTCAAAAGGTTAAAAAACTTAACACGAGGACATCAAGGTGATGCATATGGCCACTTTTAAGGCTAACATCAAAAATTATTGAGAAGGAATTTTCAATCTACCAGAACATCCGTCACTTCAAACCTTACGCCGTTTAACAATCAACATCACCGTTAACGGTTTCTCGATATGGATAAATGTGACAAATATCTGGTAGTAACGTTTAGAGTCATGCGCGTACCAAAATGTCATATCCGACGGTCAGTTCTCCTATTATCTAAGAACTAGGTCTTAGACCCAATGAAATTCATATCAGTACACAGGCAGAGTTATTGATTTTGTTGACGGTGGCTGTGGTCAGTCTAGTTATATCACTCGCTGCGTCCTTTTTGCTGTTTTCTACTGCCAAGGAAAAGAATGTTTGTATTTTTATTAATGCATATATGTTTGAAAAAATTGACCGATTTCGGCCAACAAAGTGGTGAAAATACTCTTCGGGGCTGTGTGAACAAATAGTTCTTCAGTTCCACCAACTTCATGGAAGCAGAAATATCAATTTCTGTAATGGGTCTCTTTGTCAATTAGCCATTGCAGGACAATATGCTGAGTGCATTGAAGGTTGTAAGATATCTTCATAAAAAATGAATGAGCTGTTATTTAACGTATGTTAACATATTTGTATATCTGTACTAAGATTGAATAATTTGATTATTTGTTTGTTATTAGTTTTATACTATTTATCCCCTGAATTAAACTAAGTGGACCCGGTAGCACCCTGGTAGTAAATTAAAAAAAAAAAGTAAAATCCGCGTTTTAAGAAATTTATGAAATGAGAATTATTAGTTTTATTATTATATAATCAGATTTTGCTACCTCATCTGTGTCTTGAAGGAACCTTGTGGAGCTCTTAGTTATATTGGTTCAGTTTTTTTCAAAAATAGAAAGCGGACGATTTAGTCTAGTTCTAGTTCCATTAGTTCCTGTGCAAATCAGCGTTAACAAAAACTAGAATAGTTTAAAGAATTACCAACTCATCTTCGTAGATTTCTTACGAACAATAATTCAAATCCCTTTCGAATTTGTTTTTAAATTTATTGCCTTTATCGGTACGATACGTCGGAAAATATCCACTACCTCAAATATTTTTACCGCTTCCACGTATCCTAAAAATATTGGGAATTTATACCGGAATATTTATTAAAGGAGTACAAGTATGTATATGTATAGATTTTATCGAGTAATCTGAAAAATTCTCCCCATTCTAAGAGGGACTTGGGAAATACGACTCTCAATTTTTTTACATAACAAGATCGTTTAGCTTCAAAACAAGTCATATAAAATGTAACATTTTCGAGCTCACTTCGGGCATATGGCCCCCCATTTCGTACGCAGGATTTCGAGCGTCTACGTATGTCATCCCAAAAAGGTTAGCTAATTTGAATTTAAATTCAAACAGTGACAGACAGCTGTGAACGTTGTATTATTTATGAATGGAATTCATAATTTTGTTTGAAACTACACACAGTAATGGTTGGTTAGATAAAAAATGATAATATATTTGGAAATTCTAACTCATCCTAAAAGAGGTGTGAGACGCAGTATGTTTCATTAACAACAAATAATTTGAATTTTTGATATATCTGGAAACTTTAAATGAAATATTAATGTTAAATATAATATTAAATTACACTAGTTTTCTGATTTGCTTAAAAAACTCCTACCTATCAAAAACCGCCATGCTTTTTTTACCCTAAATATACATAAATGAACTAAAGAAAAATAACCTAAACGGTAACGGATCACAAAAACCCGTAACACAAAATTTTTTATATAGTTCTGTCTGTATTCGTTTCGATCATTCATTTTTCGATCAAATTTATACATTGTTTTTAAACTTTTATCTTGGAATATTTACATTTTAGAGAAACCAGTCTTAGTTCATATATCCGATATATATTTTAGTTCTACATCTCTATGTTCATGATAGCATCGGTAATAACCGTTGAAACAAATTTTAAGCGATCATCCTCAGTTAATTTCCCATATAAATTATTACTCTCAAATATTAAATTCTGTCTACTTCCTTGAATCCTCTTTTATGGTCATTAATTTTTATTTTATATTTTAGGGTTATTTTTTCTTAAGGAACTTGTGTCCTTGGTTTTACTATACTTTGTTAATGTAAAACCAGTTCGGCGTGTAGACGGTTTACATTGTAAACAGTTTCATACTGTTCCCTAAGAGTAAATTCTTTACTTAGAAACATGTACAATTTTCAGCAAATTGAATGAATTGCCAACTACATTTTTAAAAATTTCACATTATTAGCAAAATTTAAAATTTTTTAGATAAATTTCTTTTCTTTAAATTTTTCAATAAGTGTGAGGAATTTCGTTTGCAACAATTTTAATTACAACATAATGTCACAGAAATCTTTTGCTGTTTAACAAATAATAGATAAATTACGTCAATAAATGTAACCTTAGAAATTAAAATATAAGTTGCCAAAATAATTATTGGAATAAAAATTTAAACAGTTAATAATA